GGGGGGGGGGGGGGGGGGGGGGGGGGGGGGGGGGGGGGGGGGGGGGGGGGGGGGGGTCAGTGTGTCTTAGATTCGTTGAGCGGGGTTTCAGAGTTGGCGTGCTTGTTGAACTATGGAAGTGAGTGATAGACGAGCTGTGCGGCTGACTTGCTATCGTTTTTTTTGCTGTTTTGGGGGGTACGGCTGTAAAGCTACTGGTTAATAGGTGGGTGGGCGAGGGGAGTGTCTCTTGTCTCGATGAAACAAAGGAGATAGGCTTAGGGGCGGCTATGTGAATTCGGGTGGGTGCTGTGCCAGGCCTTGCTGTGCCAGGCTGTGCCAGGCCTTACCCTGCCAGGCCTTACTGTGCCAGGCCTTGGGGGCGCGGTTGGTGTGGGCGTCACCTCCCTCATCTCCCCGGAGTTTCCACGCCGTATACGCACGTTGACGTAGACTGTCGGGCCGTCGAGTGACAGATGTCTGTGCCTTAGGCGAGGCTGTGGCCTTGGGGGGGGGGGTCCGGTTGTACACGATTTCACCATTTCCACGCGAAGCATCCGGTGATCGGTTGAGGCCCAGATGCAACGTGTGCGTGTTTCTCCCCTCAGACCTGACACACAGAGAGAGAGAGAGAAAGAGAGAGAACCCTCATGAGAAGCAAGCGGCTGGTGGGCTGATTGGCTCCTTTACTGGGCAAGGCTGGCGATGCTTGACCTGAACAAGTATTGCAGCACGGGTGGATGGGTTTTAAACTGTCCGCCGAGGCGACGATTGCTAGTTGCTTAGAACAAGTGCATGTGGTACACGAGGCGTTCTGGGTGAAGGGGCTTGTGCTCCCCGTGGCCAGCCACGAGGGCTGGGGGTAAATAAGGTAACATATACTAAGTACTTGAGTGGTTAGCGGCGTTGTTCCCATGTTAGGGCGACTGGGCGAAAGGCGGGATGGTCGTGGCGTCGGCCTTGCGTTTAGTCGATGCCGCATTGTTGTGCAGCGTATGATGTGTGATGACTTGATACTATTGTTAGAGAGACGGATAGCCATGTGCACCGGGAATGGTGGCGCCGCGTCACATGGCATACGCATATCCGTTTCAACGTTAGCTGTATTTGTTATACTTGCATATGTTACAACTCTGTCCTGGGACTGGGAGATGCAAGAGCAAAAGTGATACATCCCTAGCAGTGTGAAGTTTTTATTTGTGTTTTTCCTTTTTGATTTTGTTTGTCTTTGTGCGTGTGGAGTTGCTGGGGAAGTTGTAGGTGAGACATGTTTGGACGCCGTGTATTTTAGATGGCGTGCAGTTGCGGCAATCGCTTGAAGCTTCCAAGGGTGTCGAAATGTATTTCAGTCATAATCAGATTGGTGGTCATGGTCGGCTTTCCCAGCCTGGGTTTCGCGGCTTACGCTGCAAGGTTGTGTGTTTTTGGCATTTTAGTATGATACTTGTGTTCAGTTCTGTTGTCACATTATAACTGGCAAGAGATGATCTTTTGTGTGCATGGCAATGCCGTGAGCGTTGGTGCGCACGCACGGGATTCCAAGGGCCTCGCGTTTTGTGCGACCAGGTGTCAGTCGAGTCTTGTCTTCTTCTTGGCCTGGTGTCCAAGCTTGGTGTGGTGTTGATGTTGATCTCATCACTTCGTGCTGAGCGTGCGGTCGGCAGGCCCCGTCGCATACAGCCATCGGTATGCATCTTCATGCATGCATACGTAATGGTGATCTTGTCTCTCGTGTTCTGGCAAGGAGCGGGGCACGCGCACTGTACCGTGTGGTCCTTCGTGTTCCCTGTGTCACCGCTAGCTAGCATATAGCATGTCGACTAGCGCATGAGCACATGCCTATAATTGCAGCATAATATAGTCGTATCGAAGCCTATGCCAAGTTCCGTACCAACGAGACGAGGCATATGCATGTGATACATACCACGTTTGTTCATGTAGCTCCCGTGCCGCTTGGGCTTGGCTCTTTCTAGCCCTTGTTGATGGAAGCTTGAACTTGAATGCCGACGTGAGTTTTGCTCCTCATCATCACTTGTGGAAGTGAAAACGGAAAGAACAGCTTAAGCTGCGACGCGAACGGAGGTGTGTTTCTGGACTGGATTGACTACTTGAATTAAGAAAGAACGGGACGCTGTTGAGTTGAAATGGATTATGATATTCCAAGTAGGATCATCATACCGACGGTGTCGCTATTTAGACAAGGAGAAGATTGCGGGTCAATTCGATACTAGGGGTGGGTTAAACTCGGTTGGCCTTTCGCTTCACGAGCGGTATGGTTTCCTTCTGTGCATGGCATGGTGTTCGACCGTGCTCGCATTGCACTGCATTGCCTTGCATTGCATTGTGTTGTGTTGCCTTGGCCAACAGGGGGTGGGGTCTTGGCTCGCTGACAACCTTAACCTTGACTCAACTATAAGAAGGATTGAATTCCACACGACCTCGTGTGTACAAGTGACAGGTTTTGGAACACGAGGGAGGCGAGGTTGCTCCCACGCGATTCTGTCGTCAGTCTATTTTTGGCCAGCGACACAAGAACTGTTCCACACCGAAATACACCAAGAATAACACCATGAACGCGCACACGTACACCAAAAATATGGCCCTGGAATATGTGCATGACCAAGCACTCCACAGATGCACCAGCCTCTTCTACACAGTTGGAATAAGACTTCCGGCAGTGAGGTGTCGTCTCTCGGCGAGATACAGCAGCACATGAAGACCTCGCGTGCCGCATGCCAAACTGCCCGGCACCCGTAACACACAGTGCCGTGGTACCGTGGGACCGACCGGTTTGCAGAGGACCTGGTCTCAGCCAGTCTCCATCTTCCCCACAACACGACGGTCTCCATCTTCCCCACAACAGGCTGACGTATTTCCCGCAAGGCAGATCGATCCCATGCATTCGATGGCCATGGCCATGGGCTTGCTCTTGCTGTTCGTTCCGGATCACATCCTACTACAGCGACATAAACGAGTGAACAAGGCCGCAGAGAGATCCAGTCGCTGGACGATGCCTGGCTGTGCTTTGTACTTGGAGGTACTATTCTAGAGTAGCATACTTTTTTGAATAGTAGTATGCATAGATGGCTTGACTTCAAACAAAATATTAATCTAGTCATCTTCCCGGTATACGACGCTCTCCTGCCCCATCTGCCCGAGCTTGAGCACCCCAAGGCAGCTCGAGAACAAGAAGGTGGCCCCCAAGCTGGGCGTGAACAAGGGCTCGAGCGTCTGGTTGTAGCGTAGCGGAAGGGCCGGGAGTCGGAGCACAGGGATGGATGGGAGGGGGGGGGGGAGGCGATTACCGTCTGCATTGCATACAAGCGCGAGCAATAACAGCAATTGCCGCGAAAAAACATGTACAGTGCTAGGAAAATTAGCGCACCCTTGGGTGTTCTGAGACAGCAAAACTACTTCCAGCGTGATCCCCGTAGTCACAGCATGGTTCCGGTACAGCTTCGAGAGGGGGGGGGGGGGGGGGGG